GAGACAGGGTTTCTCTGTGTAGCCCTGGCTGTCCTGGAACTCACTCTGTAGACCAGGCTGGCCTCGAACTCAGAAATCCACCTGCCTCTGCCTCCCAAGTGCTGGGATTAAAGGCGTGTGCCACCACTGCCCGGTGCTGGTCTCTTCTTAATCACCATTATTTTCTTTGCTCTAACTAACCAGCGTCAATTGTCCCAGTAGTCTCTTACTCCTCTTGACAATAAAGCCAGAGCCAAATGACCAAAGCTGCTGAGTTCTGCTACTTCCTGGGGCTGGAACATGCCCCCCTTGTTATCACCATCTTTCTGTTTTCCAACACCTTCACTGCCTAAGCTTAGCTGTCCTGGAACTTGCTCTGTAGACTCTTTTTGAACTCAGAGATATATATTCCTGTCTCTTAAATATTGGGATTGAAGGTGTGGTCCACCAAGCCTGGATTTAAGTTTTTCTTCATCTAGAACGTGCTCTAGGCTGGTCTTGAACTCAGAGATCTGCTTGTCTTTTCCTCCTGGGATTAAAGGCTTGTACTACCGTGCCTGGACCTAAACTTAGCTGGGTGGGATCTTGCCCCAAGGTCACTACTCCCTTAATTCAATTTAACATCATTGAACACAGGATTCAGCTCCATTTCACTTCCTGGTGCCCCTGTAATGTTTGAGCCATATATTTTATATTTTCTCTTTCTCAGCTTGCTATGCTTGTTTAAAATGCTCTTCATGAGAGAACAAAGTCTATGATAGTTGTTTCTGAGACTTCTTTTGTCTCTTCACCTTAGACTCAGGCAAACTCTTCAGACAAGGGCAAAAGGCAGCCACGTTCTTTACCAAAATACCACAAAACAGTCTCTAGCCACATACTGAAATTCTTCTCCACTGAAACCTCTTGAGCTAGGTCTGCACAGTTCACATCACTCACAGCAGCAAAGTCTTCCGTAGTCCTTCTAGGATAGCTCGTTATGCTCCACTTAAAGCATGCCAATGCTTTCACAGTTAACATTCTAATTTTATGTATGAAACTTCATTAAATGGGTTTAGTTGAAAACTTAATGGAGATAACTGACTTATAAACAAATTCAATCTTAAACTATACGTACAAGCTCGAAGTGTGAAGCTCAATTGGTAGAGTGCCTGCCTAGCGTGCCCGGTGCTGTGGGTTTGATCCCTAGCACCACATAAAAAGGGCATGGTGGGAAACACTTGTAATCCTTAGCAGTAAGGATTAATCCTGTAAGCACTTAGTGGGCAGACAAGAAGATCAGAAATTAAAGGTCATCCTTAGCCATGCAGTGAGTGCAAATCCATCCTGGGCTATATGAATTCTCTCCTCCCCACACCATCTTCATGTGTGTGTATACACATATGTGTGTGAATATTTTATATATGTATTAATTATTTTATACAATTAGTATATATTATTTATATGTATTTATATAAATTTAATAAACTTGCATGGAGACTTGTGATATGGCTCACTGGTACAGCACTTGCTTTGCAAAGGCATAACACCACCATTTGCTGAATAATCTAATACAGTTTTACTTTCATATTAAAAGTTCTTTTCTGGGGCTGGAGATGGCTCAACAGCTAAGAGCACTGACTGCTCTTCCAGAGGTCCTAAATTCAATTCCCAGCAACCACATGGCAGCTCACAGCCATCTGTAATAGATGCCCTCTTCTGGTGTGTCTGAAGACAGCAACAGTGTGCTCATATACATAAAATAAATAAATCTTTAAAAAAAAAAAAGAGTTCTTTCTTAAAGGCAGTGGTGGCACACACCTTTAGTCCCAGCACTCATGAGGCAGAGGCAGGCAGAGCTCTTCTCTGAGTTCAAGACCAGCCTGGTCTACAGAGCAAGTTCCAGGACAACCAAGGATACATAGAGGAACCCTGTCTTAAAACATAACAGACAACAAAAGAGTTCTTTCTAATAAAATATATATACCCTTATACATACACCCCTAAAAGCTCCTTTACTGCTGCCTTCCCTTGTCCCTCCTAGGCCACAAATATAGCTCTGAAATTTCAGAATTTTTAAACATTTTAAAGAAATCACAAGTTTAGGCAAGTACAATGACTCTGTTTGGCTCTCGTTTTAGTAGTATTATACTTATCATTTATTGTAGGTCATTGATAACTACAGCTAAAGACTTGACTTAAATCTCATTGATGTTTTGGATTTCATGAGGCCAGAACATTATACTTTTCCCTAGCTTGACTTTCTAAATGGCTATCATTTGCCAGATGCTAATTATGTGGTAAGGATTTTACATGTAATATTGAATTTCAAAACAATATTTATGGTAGTTAGCACCCCCATTTTATCAATGAAGTAACTGGACCTCAGAAAGGTTAAATAATTTGCTCTGTAGCATATATAGTCAGCAAGTGGTACAGCCAGGAAAGTCTACAATTAAATAAAGCCTATGCTTTATTTAAAAACTTTATGACAATGCCTGATAGTGAGAATCTTAAGTTTACATGATTTTTTTTTAAATAGCACATTCCTTGATATAACTAAATATTTTAAGATTAACCTAACATAGCTAAGGGCATATTTTTAACAAAACACACACAAATTAAGAATTATATAATGAGCCGGGCAGTGGTGGCTCACACCTTTAATCCCAGCACTTGGGAAGCAGAGGCAGGTGGATTTCTGAGTTCGAGGCCAGCCTGGTCTACAGAGTGAGTTCCAGGACACCCAGGGCTACACAGAGAAACCCTGTCTCGAAAAAAAAAAAAGAATTATATAATGTTTTATACTATATTATATTTCCTAAACTTAGAAATATTTGAAATTTTAAAAATAAATACCCTGGCACACTCCTTTAATCCCAGCAGTCAGGAGGCAGAAACTGGCGAATCTCTGAGGCAAATGTTTGAAGACAGCCAGGTCTGCATAGAAAGACCCTGTCTCAAAAAGCCAAACTGACTGGCTAAAAAGCAACTGAAAAGGTTGCTTCATTTATATTACCTGCTTAAACTAATTTACTTTGTCAATATGAATATTAACAATACAAGCAATCACTTTACAGAAAATGCTGCTATGGATGACTTGATGTTGCTGATTTAACGTTAGTAACTTAAGTGTTTTTATTGTTCTGGGGTGAGGTTGTTTTTTGTTTGTTTGTTGTTGGTTGTTTTTTTTTTTCTTCTTGAGACAGGGTTTCTCTGTGTAGCCCTGGCTGTCCTGGAACTCACTCTGTAGACCACCTGCCTCTGCCTCCCAAGTTTCCTTTCTTTTTTAGGTAACTTAGCTGTTATTTTAACTTCAGGTTTAGAAAAAGCTGCTTCTGTGGTACAATTTCTGTACTTTACTTAATTTTAAAATATTACTAAATTCACAAAGTAACCTTTTCACTATAGGTTATGGCCATTGCACCAACCCATTATATCTGGCAACGAGAGCGGTCTGTGCATCACAGTGGAGCTGTTAGGAACTACAACAAAGATGAAGTTCACCTGCCCCGGGGACCTAGTGCCACACCAGTGGATTGCTCACTGTGTGGCAAAAAAGGAAGATATGTGAGACTGGGACTGTCTTCATCGTCATCCTCATCCAGTGACACAGTAGAGCTAATAGAAAAGCGTTCTCAGGAATTACACAATTCATTATCAATGGACATGATAGGTGATCCTTCTCGAGCTAATACCTATTCTCAAGGTATGATTTAATGGTAAAGTGGAATTAGACTAATGCGTGCTCTTTATTTATGTGCTCAGACCTTACAGGCAAGGAGGCATAGTTTACATAACTGGGTTAAATTTGTGTTGAAAGTTTTCCCCCTACAAGTTACCACTTTTTATCCTGTCTATACCCATTTTGTGTGGTAGCATACACACACTAAAAAGGATTTTACGTATCTTAAACTGAACCTCACTATGCTATGAGGTCCAACTATTAAGGCTTGAAGGGTTTCTATGACATGTTTATTTTATTTAAAAATGTTTTAAAAAAATAAATTTACTTATAATCACCACCCAACTATTGGTTTCTTCTATATACTTTTTTATTTCTAACAAAATTAGGCCATATTTTAGCCAGGCTAGCTTTTTATTATTTACTATAAATCATTTTCCTATGTCATTTAGTCTTTGAAAACCTTATTGTGATGTATGTAATTTATTTGTATATATCATTGTTGAGCTCTAAATGATTACTTATAACAATGATATATTAACTAGAAAATAACCATAAATACACACTATATCATAATTCTCAAATTATTTTTATATGTAGTATTTCCCTTTCATTTCTTTTTTAGATTTGAAACAGTACTAGAATACTCTGCAATAGGATCCTATTTACTTCTTACAGAGTTCCCTCATTTGAAAAATAGATTTCACTAGGTATTGGTGGCACACGCCTTTAATCCCAGAACTTGGGAGGCAGAGGCAGGACAATTTCTGAGTTCAAGGCCAGCCTGATCTGCAGAATGAGTTCCAGGACAGCCAGGGCTACACAGAGAAACCTTGTCTCAAACAAAACAAAACAAAATCAGAATAAAACAAAACAGAGAAAGAAAAAGGAAGAAAAACAGATTTCTTGTAGTCTCTTCTATCAAGAAAAAAAAACACCAGACCCACATCAGTCAGATTTTTTCTGGTTTATTTTTACCATCTTCCTATGAAAAGGACAATGACTGCTGAAGCTTTACTAAAGAGAACTAAACTCCAGTTCAGTGCTTCTCACCCTTCCCAATTCTGTGACATTTTACTATGGTTCCTCATGTTGTGGTGACCCCAACCATAAAATTATTTTTGTTACTACTTCGTAACTATAATTTTGCTACTATTATAAATTGTAATGTAAATATTTGTGTTTTCTGATGGTTGTTGGGGGTCACAACCCACAGGTTGAAAACCACTGCTCTAGTCCCTTGACAGCAGAGCGTAGTTCCTGTTCCTTTTAATGGACACACTATTTGCTTAACAAATTTCACTGGCAGTATTAGTTTCTTGCTTTTCAACATCTCCAAGCACACTCTTTTTGTCATACACATATTTGACAATAAATAGGACTAATTATTTATAAATAATTCGAGCTCAACTATAAAGTGTCATTTGTCATCCTTCTTCTATCTCTCAGGTTTTTACTTTTCTTTGATCCTCAGAATGAGTGGTGTTTATTGGATAATGTTTACTGTCCCAGGCAACACAGAAAGCTCCTTATATTCATAATACACTTAATAGTCACTACTACTGAAGGTTAAGTATTGTTATCTCTACATGGCAAACAAGGAAACCAAGGCTTATGTTAATTTTCATAAGGTTTGTAGAGTAATATCTGAATCCTGGTTTGTGACTGGAGCCTGAATTCTTACCTATTATACTCCACTGCCTTTGATAAAATCCTGCTTTTAGCAGTGAAAATAAGGTATGGTAGAAGCCTTTAAGAAGACTGCTAAAGGAGAGACGGAAATACCAAGAGCCAAGTTCCTTCTGGAATGCTTTTGGAACTCAGTCTGTAGACCAGGCTGGCCTTGAACTCAGAAATTGTCCTGACTCTGTTGGGAGCAAATTTTAATAATTTGAACCTGTATCTATAGAAAACAGAAGAGAAATCACTGTGTTTTATTTTGAGCAGGCCCTGTAGATAGCATTGGAGCATGTAGATATCATGGAGATTCTAGGTCTTGAAATCCCACTGTGGGCCTGGAGTGCTTGCAGGAAGTAAGGTGCTTCGCTAGTCACTATACTGAAAAGGCTGAGGGCAGGGGATGTGTCAGTGGGTAAAGGCTTGCTGCTGAGCCACGCCTGATGTTCTGAGCTCAGTTCTTGATGTCAGGCAAGAATCGTCTCCCTCATGTTGTCCTCAAGAACATTGTTGTACATGAAGCACACACACACACACACACACACACACACACACAGACAGAGACAGAGACAGAGAGAGACAGAGAGAGAGCAAGAAAGAGAGAGAGAGTAAATGTAATTTAAAAAAAAAAAACGAAAGCAAGCCTTTGAGGCATATAAACAAAAGTAAGGCACAGATGTAGAATTGTAGAAGGGACTGTGCTTTTACCTGTTTATTGATGAAATTCCCAATTTAGGACTTATAGGTCCATTTTAGGAAGCAAGAATTTGGGGGTTTATTTGTTTGTTTCTTGAGATAGGTTCTCACTATGTAGCTCTGGCTGTCCTGGAACTCAAGGAGATCCACCTGTCTCTGCCTCCTGAGAGCTGGGATTAAAGGTATGTGCCACCATTGCTTAGAGGAAGAAATAAATATCCAACAGTTTTCTTGTGAATCTTAAGGTTAACTCTGAAACCCTTTGTTAGTGTCAGAGGGCAAACAATATAAAGAAAAACTATTGCTAGGTATGGAGGCCATGCCTTGGAATCCCAGCACTCAGGTGGAGGTTGAGGAGCCCCAGCTGGAAGCCTCTTTGGGCTACACATCCATTTCCTTTTTAAAAAGGGGGGGGAAGAGGAGGGAGGATACACTGGAGAGATGTCACTTGATGGTCTATAGTCATCAAAAACTCATTCCAACATCCTACAAGAAAGACACACAAGGAGCTGGTCTTGGCTCCAGGCCCTTATGTTACAATTTATGTAGCTAGTAATCAGTGTTCCACCTTTCAAACAAAAGAAAACAACTTTCTGCCATCCATCCTAACTTCCTTTCCCTTCTTTCTTTTTTTCTTTTTTAAAAAAATACATGATCTCATCATGCAGTGGTGGCACACGCCTTTAATCCCAGCACTTGGGAGGCAGAGGCAGGTGGATTTCTGAGTTCGAAGCCAGCCTGGTCTACCAAGTGAGTTCCAGGATAGCCAGGGCTACACAGAGAAACCCTGTCTCGAAAAAAACAAAAACAAAACAAAAAAAAAACCTCATTGTGTAATACTGGGTGGCCCAAACTCACTACATAGACCAGCTTGGCCTCAACCTCTCAGAGATCTACCTGCCTCTGGGATTAAAGATGTGCAGTATCATGGCTAAAGTGGTTTGTTTGCTTTTGTTTGTTGTTTGTTTCCAAGTAACATGAACCAAAAAGCAATTTTAACACAAAAATACCTGTAACATTTTAAAAACAAAATGTCAGTTTGACAAGATAGAGGGAAACACTGTCAAACACTTTGAGGTACCTCATAGATATTCTTTTAGAAGTTAGAGGTATTATGACTATCAATATTATGCGAGTCTTTTATACTAATCACATCTAAAAAAAACCCAATCCCCCAAGACATTTTGAAATGGCTAATCTTCATTTTACTGCAGAAAAACAAACTCAGAAAAGTCACACCATTACCAGCTAAAGCAACAGCAAATAATGAATGTTCTGTCTACATGTCTGCTAACCATGTGAGTTCAGTGCCCATAGAAGCTGGAAGAGAGCATAGGATCCCTTAGAACTGGAGTTGCATGTGGTTGTGAGCCACCATGCATCATGTGGGTGCTGGGGATTGAACCCAAGTCCTCAGGAAGAGTGGCCAAGTGTTTATAACCACTGAGCTATTTCTCCAGACCCCTTGCTTTGGTGTTGGGTATTTGAACCTAGGGCCTTATATATGCTACACTTAAGATCTTCCCTTCAGGTTATACCTTCAAACCTGTAACACATTTCTATAGGAAACTACTACTCTTACTCTTTATGCTGCTTTCAGCCTCATGGGCAAACACTATCTGCAAACCTGAGGTTTTAAAATAAAGATAAGGGGGAAAATACAACAAGCCTTACCTTTGGCATTGACAGGCACAGAATATTCTATATGTTAGATAATCTATAACTAAATAATTTTTCTTAAAAGTAAGTCCTTTTTTTGAACTTCATTTTGTGTCATATTGTCATTCACTGTTCTGATCAAAATCACCTATGTTTAAAATCTTTGCACTAAACTGTTTATGTGACTTTAAAAGTGTTAGTTTTTTCTTTATTCCAGCTTGCTCCTACATGAATGGGACAAAGACTTTAAGATATACTTAATCAAGCTTTTGACACATAATAGCTAAGCAGTTAATAATCTATTCTAATCCTCTAAAATAACCTGTCTACCTCCCAGCCCAAATCCCCAAAATACTTGCAGTTTAGTATTCATCTGGCTTTCTCTGCTCCAGGTGTCTTTCCATGGCCTCTCCTAGACCCTCTCCTCTTAACAAATCCCTCCTCCCCTACCATTTCCCTTTCCCTCTCCCCTTCTCCCTCCCCCCTCCCCTATCCCCTTCCTTGCCTGGGATCAGAAGTCCAGCCCTATACTCTCCTCTGCCCAGCCATTGGCTGATCATCTTTATTAACAGATTAGAGAATAAATGGGGAGCAGTGTTTACACAACATTGAGACAGGAAGTTCTGAGAATAAGCATTACAATATCATGTCTAGATTGTAACCAGATATGGGGCAGAGAAATCAACAGTTGAATAATACAAAGGTAATCTTTACACAGTGCACAATAACATTATGCCTATACATAACAAAGATATATACAGGGCTAAAGATAGCACTCAGTGGAAGAGCATATGTTTGGCAGGCACTGAACACTGGGTTCAAGCCCCAGCACCAAAAAATAAACAGAGCACGGCATATGGATCAATAATGTGTTTAGGAATATGCTATATGATCAACATTTAGGAGCAGAAAAGATTACAGAATTATAAACTCAGAACTCTGGAGGTTGAGGACAGAGGATTAATATAGGTTCTAAGCCAGCCAAAGCTATAGAGAACCTGTCTTCAACAAACAAATGAATAGGCTACAGAATTCTCTCTGTGTAAGAGAAAGTTGGTAAGAGATTTCCAGAGCAAATAACATATGAACAGGACATTAAATGAGTAGAGATTAGCAAACATAAGGGAGAGAGTGGAATAGCAAATAAGAATTTGAAAATATAGGATTATCACAAGGTGGTGGTGGTGCATACCTTTAATCCTAGCACTCAGAGGCACAGGCAGGTGGATCTCTATGAGTTGGAGGGCAGCCTGGTCTACAGAGTTAGTTTCAGGACAGCCATGGTTATACAGAGAAACTCTGTCTCCTCTC